GAGGAGCAAGTGTTGAACGCTTTTATTGGGAAGAAACCATTTAAATGAGGCAAGGAGTCAGAATTCAGGGGGTAGAGTCTAACTTTATGGTGTCTGCTGTCAGCAGATTGACTGACATCTAGGAAAGCCACACTTAAAGGCAGAGCAAGAGAAGGGGACACACAAATTTCCATAGAACCTTCTATTTCTAACAGGCAAAGGGCAGGATTACAGAGGAAACAGGTGAGTGTAACTCAACCCTAGGGGCACGCCCCACAGAGAGAAAAGACCAAAGACCAGGAGTCATGGCACTACCCCACCAGACACAGTGATTTTCAGGTCCCAATGGTGCATCAGGACTGGGAGACTTGGTCACTCCATGTGGTCCTCACAATTATAGGATTTAGCAGAGGTACAGGGATGATACAGACTCCAGTCACCCTGCCTGGAATCCTTCAACTGCCTGCCTCCATGTGGGGAAGGATCAGTTGGAAAAGTCACTCATTAGTCTCCCAGAGGGTGGAAGGTTGTCTCTGGGACCCTGAAGACTCTGGGTCTGTACTGCCTCAGGGCTTCCTAAAGATCCTGGCTAGATGCCCCTCAGGTCACCTCATAGTTTTCTAGTTGGGCCACCAGGGATTCTGATGCTCTGGATCCCTGGTGAGGACAGAAGGGATGAGAAACATAATGGGGAGGAGGGTGGGTTCTGGTGTTCCCATTCTGCCCAAGGGTGGGGACCTGAGGGCATCTGCCCACCTCAGATGCCTGGGCATGACTGCAGGGAGATGGTCACTCAGGAGAGCCATTATGGTCAAGTGAATCTGATGTTGACCCAAAGGCAGAGCTGGGCTGGGAAGGTCAGCTGGAGATGCAGTGGGAGCCCAGGTGCCCTCCAATGGCCACAGAAACCACAGCAGGCAGGATCCTGGGAGAGTCCCCTGGGAATGGGGGATGTGTCCTCTGCTTTCTGACCCAGCCCCTTTCCTCTCCCTGAGCACAGCACATGTCCAGGGAGAATCCCAGCCTGGGGTCCAGGGCTCAGCTCCTGTCCTGTCTGTCAAGGAGGCTCCATGCAACTGCCCAGGTCAGCTAGGTTCTCTTCCCCACACTCAACCTGAAACATAGGTTTGTAACATTTTTTAAACAAATGTGAGGTAACATTCCTTGCAAGATTATAATTCATGTATAATTAACAAGTTACCATAAGGAAAAACAATCATAAAGAAATGATTAATGTAAAGAAAATCAAGAAATTAGGAAAATTTTCCACTCTACTTTCAAGAAGTTATATTTTGTCTTCATAGTCTGAGGTTCAGTCTTCCAAGTGGTCTCTGTGTTGGTGATGCCTTCTTTTGAATATAACATTTGATCTATCGATTCCTTCATTTTCAGTTTTATTTTATTTTATTTATTTTTTGTAAAAAATACCATATTCATAAAGCTCAATAAAGCTAAGTACAATAAAATGGAGCATGCATACATATTATAACTTGATCAGATTCATTAAGTTTACAGAAAGTTCAGTGAATAGAAGAATTTGTAAATCAGTAATAACACCAGAGAGATGTTTTCTTTCTTTTTTATGTTTAAATTTTTTATTGATTTTATTTTTTTAAATACATGACAGCAGCATATATTACAATTCTTATTACACATATAGAGCACAATTTTTCATATCTCTGTTTGTATATAAAGTAGGTTGACAACCAATTCATGTCTTCATACATGGACTTTGGATAATGATGTCCATCACATTCCACCATCCTTGCTAGTTCCATGCTTCCTCTTTTCCTCTCCCTCCCCTCTTCCCTATCTAGAATTGATCTATTCATCCATTTGTTTTTAACATGTATCTTTCTCATATTTAAATTGGGTCTTCTTACAGACACCATATAGTTGGCTTTCACTCTTTATTCACTCTGAGTGCTCTATCTGTCTATCTCTCTCTCCCTTAGTTGACAATTACACCATTCACACTATTAAAATGATATTGCC